CATTATGCTTTGGGGGTGTTTTTCTGGTAAGGGGACAGGACAACTTCACTGCATCAAAGGGATGATGGACAGGGCCATGTACCATCAAATTTTGGGTGAGTACTTCCTTCCCTCAGCCAGGGCATTGAAAATGGGTCGTGGATGGGTATTCCAGCATGGCAATGACCCAAAACACATGGTCAAGGCAACAAAAGAAGCGCATTAAAGTCCTGGAGTGGCCTAGCCAGTCTCCAGACCTTAATCCCATAAAAAATCTGTGGAGGGAGCTGAAGTTCGAGCTGCCAAACGTCAGCCTCGAAATGTTAATGACTTGGAGAGGCTCTGCAAAGAGGAGTGGAACAAAATCCCTCCTGATATGTGTGCAAACCTGGGCCAACTACAAGAAATGTCTGACCTGTGTGATTGCCAACAAAGGTTTTGCCATCAAGTACTAAGTCACGTTTTGCGAAGGGGTCAAATACTTATTTCACTTATTAAAATGCAAATCAATTTATAACTTTTGAAATGCGTTTTTCTGGATTTTTTTGTTGTTATTCTGTCTCTCACTGTTAAAAATAAACCTACCATTAAAATTATAGACTGATCATTTCTTTGTCAGTGGGCAAACATAATAAATCAGCAGGGGATCAAATAATTTTTTCCCTCACTATCTATCTTCAGAGGAACTCAGCCATAAGATATTTCTGATTTAGGCATGACTGTTAACTAGCAATTAAACATGCCTCATGCAGCGAAACAAGGCAGTTGGCTTCTGAAGATGAATTAATCCACGGTATCTTTGCACTAGCAGCAATCTAATTTAGAGATAAAGCAAAATTAGTTATCTTCAAACAGAAACTTATTAAAAAGATTAGAGCAGTGAACCATAATGAAACAGGCAGTAGATGGGAGCTTTTGGGTTTAAGGCGCCTCTGCTATTTTATTGCTTATTGTTGCATTCACATATATAATACTAATTGCGAACCAGAATTCTGAACCACTTTTTACTTCTATGTATTCTGAAAATAGTCTATTTAATCCTGCTCTTTGCTATTATTAAGCAGCAGGTAATTTTTATCCATAAGATTCCCTCTTCATGCTATGATTAATGATTTTCAAGGTCTTTTCAAAGATGAAACCTCCTAAAAATCCAGACATGGGATGTTTGAATCCTTATAAAAACTTTTAAAAAATTAATCAACGTACATTAATTTTTTATTTCATAGTAAAGTGGCTTTTTTAAAGAAATACATTTAAAAGTTTAGCCCCTCAAACACAAGGCCTGGGGATGTATAAACTTGCCATTTTTCAGTTAGTTTTATTACTTTATGAAATCTCTGGGAGACATTTGTTCAGCCACTCAGTCATCAGATGAGAATCATTCAGCTTCTTCTACAAAGACGAAAAGCGAACACTTTTAAATTTTCTGTAATTGTTGCTTTTAAAAAATCCAGATTAATGATCTTTTTACAATATTATTTAAAATCTTGTTTCTGCAGTTATTTGGTCTTCAAGATGAAATTGAATCCAATAGATAGTGGTTAGCTTCCTAAAAAAAAAATATCACCCCATTCCCAGCAAAAACTTTTCCCCCAACTTATGGCCTGCTTTTATAGCACCACTACCCTAGTCTGCATTTCACTTTTTTTCAGCTTCCCTTATAATTTCACCTTCAGCTCATTATGTTTATTTGCTTTATTATAAAATTAGCAGAAAACCAAGGTGAGCTCTTGCCATACCTATCCGGCTCTGACATATTGCAAGAGGCAACAGGAATTTACTGAAACTTCTGAGAAATCGCACAACTGAGTAAGCCAGCAAAAGAATGGAAAAAAAAAACACCACCCCACATCCCCCCCCCCCGCTCTGATATCTGCGTCACAGTGCAGTCAGGCAGGGCCCACCTGGACTGAGATTGGAGGCTTTCATTTGTTGTGTGGTTATCATCCTGAAAGCAGTGATTAGTTTAATATTGCCCATTACGTAAGGGATATCATATTCTAGGGTGTGGTGTGCTGGGAAACAACATGTACTAGAAAAGCAAGCAGTTACAAGCAGCACCAGACATGCTACTATTACCTGTTTTTTCCTGATCCTTCCCCCCCTTCTTGTTCTGAAGTACAGAACATATTATGCAAATACTAGGATGCTTTTTATATCTTATTCTGTCTTCTTGTTTTAAGGAAGCAGATTGGAAACTTAGTTACCTTGCTAGATGGCTTCTGATCAGAAATTATTTTATAGTTTAGCAGTGACAAAATTTTGAGAAATGATTTTTCCAGCTATGACAGAAAACAAGTGCTTCATCAGCAGTTACACCAATCCTGGCGGGAAAGAAATAATTAACACATCTAACAACCATCTTGTCCAACAGGCCTCTTCCTATTAGCTGTACCCTGGAAAATATTTTCATTTATTAGTAAACATTCATGCTGTGTTCCATTTGGCTAAAACTGTAGCAGGAAGGCGATGGCTGAAAATTGCTGTTATGGATGTCATTTCCACATCATCTCTAATTTCATGCGTTTATTAGCCTGACCAAAAGCTAAATCTCATTCAAACAATAAATAACCTTAATGCAGAAACCAACACTCTTGAACAGTGTTTCTAAGCCATGGCAACTTTAAGATGTGTGTACTTCTTATGGTGGCTGGGGTACTCTGGGAGCTGAAGTCCACATAGGCTGAGTCCAAAATTGAGAAACACTCCACTAGCCCAGCAGTGCCAAAATCTACTTTCCTGTTTCATGTCAGTTTCTTTGGAAAAATACCGTAATCCTAGTTTTCCATCTCATTCATTTCAGTGTTGTTTTTAATCTTATGTTAGTGCTGTAAGGTACAGCAGGCAATGAGGGGGGCAGCTGGAACTCACCTCTTGACCTTCCAGCGTGTGACAAAAAAACAGCTAGTGATGCATGGTTCACAAACAATGAAAGAGGCTTAATTTTGGGACATTTTCTTTTCTATTTTTCAGAATTCCAAGGGTGAGAATGGGCATCCAACATCCTTTGCTTACACTTTCACCAAAAAAAGGTCCTGAAATCACCATTTTTCTGACTGAGTTTCGGCCAAAAAAGACACTCAAAGGCCTTGAGAATTGAATGTGTTTAAGAGGAGAGAGGGTTCCTATTTCTACTGTTAATATTGGGATGAAATGTGCAATTTCCTGCCAAAATTTGGGAGTGCAATCTTAGATAGAGAAGCAAAACTTTGCCTGTGAAACCTTCCCTTGGGAATTAACTGAAGCAGGAAAAGCCAGAAACAGCAGCCAGCTGTAGGACTTGAATAATACATAATAAAAGATCTGCAACATTCACTTCTTTGAACATGTTTCAATTTGTTTTGCACCATAACCCATACAAAAAAATGTAATGTTCTCAGCCCAGATCTTGTTCCATTGAAATAAATGGGAATGATATACAAGCAATGGACTCAAGAGAGGGAAAAACTGGAACTGATCCAGAATGTAGATCCATCCCTCTTACCAGTCCAAGCAGACAGAATGATGGCAGAGTATGGATCTTTAGGAGATTCCACTCCTCCTCAAAATCCCTACGTCCTCATAGCATTCATTGATTTCTTATGCAGGAGTCAAAGTCACTTGATATTTATTTTGTAAAGCTGTGAGCCCTGCTTGTAAAGGCTAAAATATAGAAGAGTATCATTGCAAACTCTGTGAACCAGACGGGCTGAGTTGGTAGGCTGAATTTAAGTTCTATTTCTTGTATAATATACATGTTTGAGACATGAATTAAGATAATAAAAATTAACACACACTAATTCGTTACAGCATCTCCTGCTCTCTTTTTATATGCTAGCCTAGGGGTGTCAAACTGCCTGCCCACAGGCCGGATGCATCATAGCAAAATTGCGCGCCCCTCCCCTTGCCAGCAATGGCAAAAAAGTCGCAATACATCGTGACACGTCACGTGACATTGTGAATTTGACACCCCTGTGCTAGCCTGAATGAAAAGACAAAAACTTTTTAAAAATTCTGATGGACCATGCAGTATAATAAGAAATGCAAGCTGCAATAAAAGAAACTACCCACCTTTACTATTCTTAGCCTTGTAACTCTGTCCTGTGCATACATAAAAACCAACAGACTTTAATGGGGCTCACTGCAAAACCAGTTGTCCCTGTCCCTTAGATGCTGTGACCTGGGGACAATTTTACTAACAGTAGTTGTGACATTGACAAGTTCTAATTGACTTAGTATACTGCAATTATTGTTTATTATCAATCACTGCACTATTTCTCTAACATTTGTCATCTGAAAGCAACTGTATAAATCATCTGGATATAAATGAAAGAAAATTTAGCAATAACTAAATACAGAAAATCGAAGGTGTACTTCCACAAATAAACCCCAAGCTATGGGTATGTTAAATGGACGGCACCTTTGTGATAATCAAGCGCAACCAGGTTGACCAAACCTACCAAAGAGATCCGATTTACAATAGAAACCAAGAATAATGATGAACTGCCCTTGCTGGACTTCCTTGTTACCAGAACCACCAATGGCCAACTTCTAACATCCGTGTATAGAAAGGCAATACATACAGATCAAATCCTCAACTTCCACAGCAACCACCCCAAATGCCACAAACAAAGGTGCATCAGAACACTGTTCGGGAGAGCGGAATCCCATTGCAACACCACGAAAGCCAGGTCAGCAGAACAAAAACACTTATACAAAGTTTTTTTGGGAAAGAAATTCTAAAATACCAAAGGTGATGACTTACAAAGAAAGCCTATACAAAATGTTCTACAGATGGCACTTAACACCTGTGAGGTTAGCAAACATGTTTAAAAACATGTCTAGCAATTGTTGGAAATGTAGACAAAAACCAGGCACATACTATCATCTTTGGTGGACGTGCCCTAAAGCCAAAAGATTTTGGTCAAGAATACATATATGGTCAAAGAAAATAACTAAAAAACACATAGATTTTAAATCAGAATTATTTTTGTTAGGTATAATTGTAGGAAATTGTAAGAAGGAATGTGTATATTTAATGTTACATGGTCAGACATTTTGCTTTTTCCTGCAAGTTCTTCTCCAGAATGCAAGTTTTTATTATTCTGTGCCTAGTGATAGTCTTCCTCTTTTTAAGTAGTTTTCTACTCGTAAATCAAAGTTTTCTAGGGATTTGCGCTTCGAGATATTTAACGGAGATAAGTCGTATCCCTGAAAAAGGTCTTTTAAAATCTGTTGACTGGCCACTCTGTGAATCTGATCAGTGTGTGATGCTGTCAAGACATCATTGTCCAAGACTCTTTGAGCAAGACGGTCACTGTCCTCACAGGAAGAAGGAACTCTTTCTAGAGTAGAGATTGCATCCTTTCTGTCACTGGAAAAAGTGCATATGCATGCTGATGTTACAACTGTCTGATGCTTTTTAAATTCATTATCAATGTCCTTCAGCTGATGTTTCGTGGAAAAAATGTTTTCTGACTCTACCACAGGGAGTGCTCTCTGGTTCTCAAGGTTTGATGGTTCTAGTATTATTTCTTCCTGTTTTTCTTCACACTGTGGAGACTGAATACACTTTTCTTGTCTAGAATAAGAGTCAGTTCTGTTTGTGGATTCTGGGCAGCACAACTCAGAAATTTCTGTTTCAGGGTAATAGTATATCTGGCTAGTACATTTTTCAGGAGAGTCAAAGCAAACTCCCCTTGGAACATGGTGAGAGGCTGACGATTTTAGTAGTTTTATTGGCTTTTCTCTTTTCTTGTTTTGTATGACTTGTTTAACTGATTCTGGAACTTTAGACTCCAGAAGTGAATAGTTTTCAGAGCTCAAGTATTGTTGAAAATATACTTGACATGCCTTATTCTTTACCACAGGGATAATGGAGCAGGGCTTTAGCCAAGCTACAAATTCTAATAGTTCTTGGAAAGATGAATGGTCAGAATAAGGAACAGCATACATATTAGGGTGTTTGATTTTCACTGGTCTACTGGTAGGGAGAATAGCAATGGTTGGATGGTTCTGATTCCAGTTGGTTATTGTTTCTTTGCAGATTTCTGAAAAATCCACAGCATGAATCCATCCAGCTCCTTCTTCAGAAGTGAAAACATCCTCAATCTCCAACAGCTGCATAAGCTCCAACTTCTGAGGACTCACTACAATCCATGTATGAAATTCTTGGGCCAGTTCCACCAAAAGTGATTCCTTTCCCAAGCTATATGTACCTAAAAGATAACAAACACCGGTTAGCATTTCAGTGTTAGGTAGCCTAACACTACAGTAATTCAATCTTCAGAATGGAATGTATTTAACTATTGAAATAATTGAGGATTAGCAGTGGAAGACTTCAAAAATCTGAAACATTACACCTTTCCTTGGTGGGTTCCTCTTCCAATGGCTAATGAATCATCAGGCAACTTTATGCAACTATATTTTACCATTGTTGATATATATTCATATTTTATGGAGTTCAACCATCTTCCACATTATTAGATGAGCTCAATTTTCACAGGTGACTTTGAGGAAATATTTATACTCCATCTTTCTGGAGCAGTGGTTCTCAACCTTCCTAATGCCGCGACCCTTTAATACAGTTCCTCATGTTGTGGTGACCCCCAACCCCCCCATCCAGCTTGTCCCGGCGCCAGTCCGAGCCGCCTGGGGGGCAGCAGGAGGAAGAAGGGGAGGAGGAAGAGGAGGGAAAGGAGATAGAGGAGCGGTGTCTCGGTTCCTAAGACCATCGGAAATATGTGTTTTCAGATGATCTTAGGCGACCCCTGTGAAAGGGTCGTTCGACCCCCAAAGGGGTCCCGACCCACAGGTTGAGAACCACTGTTCTGGAGTATAAATGGGGCATATTGGAGGGCATGCAATAATGGTAATTAGCAATAGTTAAATGTAGACTAAAAATAATATTGAAATAAATTAATTTTGTAATCTCTGCTTCCTTGAAAGACAGATTTCTCCAAATCCTGAATTCATTAAATCAATTCCATGTTTTCCTTTGGAGGCCCCTTATGAACCAGGGTTGCCCAACAATCCAGGGACTTTGACAGATGTACCAGCAATCACATTCTAAAAAGTAATCAAGGCCAGGAAAAAAACCGTTAGTTTTTCATTCATACAATTTAACCTAAATCAATAAGATAGAACCAGTTTAGTGTGGTGGTTATGGCATCCGAGTAAAAAGTAGGAGACTGAGTTCTAGTCCTGCCAAAGGCACGAAGGCAGCTGGATAACCTTGGGCCAGTCATTTTCTCTCAGCCCTAGGAAGAAGGCAATGGGAAACCATTTCTGAATCTTGCCAAGACAATTGCAGGGATTTGTCAGTCAGGAATCAACACTGACTAAAAAGTATCAAAAAAAAAAAAAAAGGAGAGATGGATAATTTGATTACTCTACATACATGTATTTAATGATTTTCCCTGACCCTTAAAATTTAGAATTGAGAGGCAGCTTTTCAAAAAAAAAAAAAAAAAAAGCACTGCATCTGAGGCTTGGAGATGGGGAAGATTTCTTGAGTTGTGCACCTCTGGTGTAAACTTGCTATGATTATCTGGGTAAGCACTGTATAGCCAACCAGAAACCATAGGTCGAAGCCAAAAGAATTAAAAGAGAATAGGCTCAAACTAGAATTTTACTGAATGAACAAGAATTTTACTGAATAAATATTAATACATTTTAAACAATAAATATTATGAAAGTTATAGAAAAAGGTATATCAATCTATATCTATTCTGCTTCCCTAGCCCCCTAGAAGTGACAGACTAACCCACCTAGGAATATGGGTCTATGTTGAGATTCTAAGTGGCCAGGCCTTTATAACCTTTTTATACTTTTCTTAGAAGACAAGGCATATGAACAACAACTGGAGATGGCTTGGTAGAATGTCTTATCAGCCCCCTGGTCACAAATTCAAAGAGTTGACCCTTGCCAGTGTTATTTTAAATAAGGCATTGTCACTAATAGATATTACTTGGGAAATAATCTGAACATCCTTCCCCATCACTTGGGAACACAGATAGGTGAATCTTTGCTAAGAAATTTTTTTAAGGGGAAACATTGTATTTAGAGTAAGGCATGCCCACAACCCCAACAGGCATTAGATTAAGGAGCTCATGCTGTCTTTTTTCTCTTAATTATCATAAGTAGCAATCAACATAACAATACTCAAAGTAAAAAGTGTTTTAATATAGCCAGTGTGGTGTGGTGGTTAAGGTGCTGTCAAGTACAAGCAATCAGATCCATACACAAAGGGTTCAAACTGACTACTTTATTGTATTTTACCTATAATACAAGAATCTCTCCACACTGCTTGCCCTCTCTTGGCAGCAATCAGATAAGGGTCCATAGAACCTGGAGGGGTGTGTGGGGGGGAGGAAACAGTTCTAGTTCTCTTGCAGCTGTAAAGCAACTCAAGGCTAATTCCCTGCTTGATCCCTCCTCCTTGCCTGACTGGCAGTTTCCCAACAGGCACTGATCTAAAAATCAGGAGACTGTGAGATTTAGTCCTGCTTTAGACATGAAAGCCAGCTAGGTGACTTTGGCGTAATCACTGTTTCTCAGCCCAACACACCACACAGGATTATTGTTGTGGGGAAAATAAGAGGAAGGAGTATTATGTATATTCACAGCCTTGAGTTACATATAAAAGGAGTAAAGGTGGAATAAAAACATTAATAAAATATTGATGCAGTCCATAAAGCTTGCTAAGTAATTTATGCACAGGTGTGGAGAAATTTACAAAACAAAACTTGTTAAATTATACAGAAATGGCCTGTGCTAGATAAGGAACTCTATCTATACAGTACATCTTGTATGTGGAAAAGGAAAGAAGGGTCCATACCACTATGTCTTTGTAAATCTGCCATGCCACTTCAATCACCTGAACATAAAGATTCTCACATCAGAGAAAAAACTCCACAACTTCTTTCCATTTAATTAGATCTGAAAAAATAGATCTTCTTACCAATCTTCACCTGATGATCAGGGTGGTCCCTGATCAACTTTTTAATTTGCTCAGTGGCCTGTTCCCGGGATGGTAAGATAATTTCAGGATGACAGTTAGTATTATCCAGATAGAGGAAGTTGATAAGCTTTGAGTTCTTTAGAACTGGATCTTGCTGCATGTTAGCATTGTAACGAAAATCACCTGGTAAGACAAGATATAATGCGACAGTCAGGGAAAAATGTTCCTGTGAAGCAGAAGCCTAAATTAATTAAGAATAAACCTCTTTAGTTACTGCAGAAGGAAGCAATGTTGTAAATGTTCTAAGGCATTTTTCAATGTAAAATTCATATTTCATCGAGTCTTGCAAAATTAGTGAACGGTCAAATACAGTACTAGCTTACAGCTAACTACTAAATTTGTGTTGATACAAGTGGATTTAAAATTTCTTATTCTACATCCAGGCCTGAACGTCAGACATTATACCATATCATTCTGCTGTTACAGAAATCAGAGGCTATACTTTTAGAGCTTGCTTTAGCCAGCAAAGGGCAAAAAACAAAAAAAAGCAGTTGAAAACACATTATTGTCAGGATTCAGACAGACTTATCCTACAAGGAAAAATCATGTAGTCTTTGGAACTCTCAAGGAGAAAACCACAGCTTACCGACACTAACAGTGCTATATATAAACCAAAAGTAAACCCCATACTCACTAGGACTGATCATATTACCCAATTAAGTAAGGAAACATTTACAAGCAAACAACCAAGCTTGAGAGCAACAAGCACTTCATAGTTCAACACTCAGCAACATATATTCTCTTCTATTGGAAGGACAATCATAGTTGTAATCTAAAATGCACTTCACCTCTTTCTCAAAAACAAGGAAGTTCATACCTGTGTACAGGATGGCACCAAAGTACCCTTCAAAAAAAAACATGACAGATCCAGGGCAATGGTTAGCATCTATCAAGGTCACTGTCATGGTATTTCTGCCAATTTCATCCAAAGGGACAACATGGCTATCTCCCACTTCCAAAGGACGGATCCACCGCTTAGCTACCTACCAAACAAAGGCATAGCAGAATCAATGTGAGACTTTGCAAAGAGATAAGAAAATGGGTAGCATTCTAAATGATGCTGAACTACATTTTCCAGCATTATGAACATTAGAAAGGTTTGTCAGAATGTGCATTTCAGCAACACCAGGATAACAAAGGGATGACTAAGAAACATTAGGACAAGTACATGTACTTAGGTTGTACCTTCAGCCTGAGATGTAGAATTTGTCCTGTAACAGGTGAACAATAAACAGGTTGGTTCCAGGTGCTGGAAAGCCCCACAGTATGGTCACTGTGCATGTGAGAAAGAAAGAACAAGCGAGCCTGCCCAGCTTTCCTGATATTCCAAAAATCCACCGCAATGGGTGTGCCTGCAATCAGAGTCCCATTCATCACTCCAGCTCCTATAAAAAACAACAAATAAATTTGAATATTTTAAAAAAACTCAGAAAAGATGAACTCATGCATCAGTAATCTTCCAAACCTTATAAAAAAGAGGAAACGATACCCACTGGCAGTAAGAGTTTTATTTAGCTTAAGCTAATGAAGCAAAATAGCATGCTGTCTTACTTAGCACTTTGTGTGAGAAACACACTCAGCTCCCAAGAATTTGACAGAGTCCTTAAGTGAAGTAGCAAGCAGTTTATTACAAAATATGTTCTTGCAAGAGCAGGTGTCTAGCAAGTAGATTTCAGCAGCATTTATTCCCTCAGCCCAAACACAAGTCCCTCCCATGTCATCCCGCACAGTTCACAATCTTTCCAGAATGCCTAGTTCCCCCCTTTTTGGAATTTCCCTACCTTTACAGTCCTCCCCACCCCTTACTTGGTTCCCCCCTTTTTTGACATTACCTTTGTCCTTTAAGCTGGTTTTTCTATTAGCAATAGGTGCAATTATGCTTAACTCATAGTTCCTGCTTTCTTGGAACTTAGATGCAAAAGCATAAACCGAAACAAGCAGTTTATTTCTAGATTATGTGCGAATTCTTGCGGTTACAACTACCAGCTAGCCTGATTTGGGGGCTGTAAATATTTCCTACCTTTTTCTTAGCCCTATTACATTTCTTAGTACTGGTCCCTTCAAATATATGATTCCTGCAAAAACATCCAGCTATTATTGCTTCTCTTACATTAGGACTTCAATTACTGTGTTTCATGACACATTCAGTTTGACATAAGGGCTGTATCTATGCAATAAATACCAGATGTTCCCTGTTTATTCCAGATGCATATTATTACATAAAACCTTCAACTATTTGAGGACTATCACAGGAAGGCAATGCAGTGACTGTGGACTCTACAACATTTTTTTGTGTGCATATGCCTTCAAGTCATAGTTACTGTAACACTGGACAGCTGCCTGAAATAGTTCCTGCAGTTTTCTTGGCAAGGTTTTTCAGAAATCCTTGGCCTTATCTCCTTCCTAGGCTAGAGAGAGTGACTGGCCCAAGGTCACCCAACTGGCTTTGTGCCTAAGGTGGCACAGGAACTCACCATCACCTAGTGCTCATCTTAAGCTAAACTAAACACAACTGGCTCTCTCCCTACAGCAGAGGGAAAGGCTCCTTTATGTGTGTATGCACACATGCAAACAGGCTGTGAGTGCGCATGTGTGATGCTTGCGGCCAGTGCTTTTTTTCTAAAAAAAAAAAAAAAAGGTGCCGGAACTCACACATGTCATACAACCCGCCTTGCCTATCCTACAAGGTTCCATCCAAAAAAGGTGCCGGAACTCCGTTCTGGGCGTTTATGAGAAAAAATGCCCTGCTTGTGGCGATGCTAAGGCCTGCGCGACACTTGCAACAACACTAACACCCATGTGATGCAGCAATGCTAGCACCTGTGCGACACTCGCACAAGTGGGGAGGTAAGTGTGTGCACGCACACGTGCGCACTGGCTAGCCACTCACATGGCACGGTGGCCAATGGGCCATGGGGCGGTAGTGGCCCGGGGCCCACAGGGGACGCCTGCCCTACAGCATTCTTCTTGTATGAATTATTAGTAGCATTTGAGATGACGTCCAGGAGATTCCCCAAGTTCTTTTTAATAAAAAAGAGCCTAAATGTCATGAGACAGTAAAACCTTGACATTATAGCATTCCAGCTAAAGCAGTGTTTTTCAACCTTGACAATTTTAAGGCATGTGGACTTCAACTCCCAGAATTCCACAGCCAGCATGGCTGGCTGTGGAATTCTGGGAGTTGGAGTCCACATGCCTTAAAATTGTCAAGGTTGAGAAACACTGAGCTAAAGAAACTTAAGAGAAGTTGGTCCAGCGCAGAAAACGTTTGCGGGTCCCGCGGTCGGCACTTTATAATTGCTGTTTTACGACTCATCGAGCACTGCAAAGAAACTTTGTTCTGGAGCTCAGTCCACCCCTGTCCCTTCCCTAAATCATTTTGCAGAGAGCAACGTGGAAGCTTACTGTGATCTGTCCTAGGCTTGTAGCACAGGAAAGAGAAGGAAGCGGAAATTGGCGGTTCTCCTTTCCCAAATGCAAAATGCTTACTTGGGGAGCGTCCCAATCGGGGGAATAAGAGAGCTCTATTCTCCTCCGCAGTTAGGAAAGTCCTGTCACTTTTCAAACGTAGTTCACAAGCAGTGCTAACTTTTCCCGCCGAAGAATGGAAGAACCCAAACACCCGCTCACCCGTAAGGCATCGCGACAGACGAGCATGCGCGGTACTCTCCGCGAGAAGGGAAAAAAATGGTCAGGCCGCTAGTTTGAGAACGCAAACGAAGAGCGCATGCTCGTTATCGACAGGGCCGGGAAGCTCATGCGCAGTATAGTTATTATCTGACGGTCGTGAACCGGTGTTTCTCAACGTTCGTAGCTTTAAGATGCGTGGACTTCAACTCCCAGAATTCCATACATTTTAAAGCTATTGATGTCAGGCACATTACGCTCGGCCAATAGGCGTACAAAAATGAGATTGATATGTAGTTCCATGGTCAGAAGACAAAACTTCCAGGATGCTTTTGACGCCTCTTTTTTTTTTTTCTGGAAAAACTGTCATAGGGACAGAAAATAAGAAAACAGTAGAAAAATCCGGATTTTTGCGGAACAGTGACTAGGCAACAGTAACCTTCCTCAAGCAAAAGGTATCAGCAAAGCCTGCGTAGTGTTTGTAATGCGACTAAATCAGGATTCTTTTGCATTGCGAAGAAAATGGAGCGGGGGGGGGCGGTGAAAAAAAGGAGGCTGCGGCTCTTCGAGATAATCTTCCCGTCTACTCCGCTGTAGATTAATAATAATTCATATAATGATACTTGGGGCTACTATTGAGTATTAGGACCCTGCAGCATATCTGAGGTTTTTTCTGCTTTCCGATCCTCCCTTAGCGCATCGGGATATTAAGCTAAAAAGCCCCCGGAACTATTTTACAATGAAGTTAACGTAAATCTTTATGTGACTGCCAAATAAATAAATTGCCCTGCATTTTACTACCGGTTGTCATTTAATTTGAGGAACGAAAAATTGTATTACAGCTTCTAATCCAGAATAGAATTTTAGAGGCATTTTCGTTGAGTGTTGTCTTCCTGCACTTAGAGCTCTGTATTTCGAGAACTTGATTCCCTTCGAAGACGCAGGTAAATTGGACTTTCAAGTGCATTCACTCCATTTATTTTCTAGTTGCCTGGTTAGATAGAGATTGTAATGCTTTGATTTTTGCCAGGCCAAAGCATTGGTGGGTATCGCCATCAACAAAATAATTTATCTATTTGTTTTCAGAGCTATGAAAGCAACTGTTTCCTGTGTGTAAGACTAAATGTAGTTTCATACCAACAATGGTATGACACAGTGACTGTGTTCATTGTATTACCCTCATTTTGGTTTGGCAGAATTGTACATTGCATAACAAATTTAATTATTTAGCTGTCTTCCTTCCTTCTTACCTACCTACCTACCTACCTACCTACTAGTATCTTGTGTCATGAAGAGTTATTAGAATTTAACAGCTTACATGTGGTCAAGTGCCCAAATTTTGATCACATGACTGTGGCGATGCTGCAAGAGTTGTAAATGCAAGGACCAGTTGTAAACCACTTTTTTTCAGTGCTGTTGTTTATATCTTTTATTGTTTTTACAGTATAGTAAATAATGTAGCTACTCCTAGAGAAACCAAGTGTAATTAGTCATTTGTTATATGCTGCTATTCTTGTCTTATTGCTTTCTTACCTTTCTATTACATCTCTTATATTCAGTGCTTTCTTTCTAAAAAAAAAAAAAGGTGCCAGAACTCACACACACATCATACAACCTGCCTTGCCTACCCTACAAGGTTCCATCCAAAAAAGGTGCCGGAACTCCGTTCTGGGCGTTCTATGACAAAAAAAGCCCTGCTTATATTTAGTGTATTTTATTTGCTGTAAGCTCCTTGGAACAGAGACTTGTCAGCTTGTTCCTTGCTAAAATGCCATGCTTGTTGCTGTCATAATGAAATTAGCAACCTTTTGAAAAACTAGAACCAGTTTGGTCTAATAAGGCACCAGGCTAGAAAGCAGGAGATGAGTTAAAGTTCCACCTTAGCCATGAAGACTCATAGTGTTGCTGTTTTAGTGGGGAAAATAGGAGGAGTAAAAATGGGTTGGATATATTCGCCACCATGAATTATTTGTAAGCATAATAAAGGCAGGATACAAATTAATAAATAAAAATCTCTTGTTCTAAGAAAAACATAAAAGATAAGACAAGAGATTGAAAGAGGCAGAACGGAATACAAATGATATGCTCAGATTTCTCTCTGTGACTTTGTGACTGCTATCCTAGGTTCTTCAACAGTCAGTACTGTCAAAGGGTTTAGAATCTCAACAATGCCGTACCTTGGTTCAGAGGATACAGTGAAGGAGCTGAAGAGAGCCCTGTCCAACCCTCATGTGCAAACTGACCATCTTCGCTATAGGAATGTTATCCAACGAGTAATCAGGTCTGTTCTGAGATGCTTGTGTTATGCTACGGTCCTCTTGTATTCTGACAGTTATAGTTGGTCTTATGAAATGCTGGAAGTTTTAAATAATTGATACATGCAATAATTGTTTTAGATAGTTCTCATAATAGTGTAACAAAATTATAAAGTTTAAAAATAAATAATGCAAATGTATAATGTTTATACGTTTTAGTAATATGTTCATCATTAGTAAATAATTCTATTTCAAACTCAGTTTTACTTTGTTCACAGCCATAATGTATTTTATCCACTTTAAACTTTTCTGTTAATTGTATATAAAAAAACCATTGGCAAGAATATCCTTTTGTTATCACATTTCTTGAATTTAGTTTTGCAATCCTTTTGAAAAAATTCTGGTACATCTCAATAGATTAACTTAGTTTTAAAGAGTGCAAAATATTAGCGTGCAAAGCACTAGTGCTGTGGATCTTAGCCAATTATAAATAAAATAATTTAATCTTATAATCTGTACATGAAAATTCATATATAGTTTTCATTTTTGCAAACGTTGCTTTAAAAAAACTCTGCTACCTTCAACCAGGTCAAAGAAATATTCAGGGCACTGAAACATGCTCTCATTAATTGAAAATTCTAAGTTACTGTCTGGTTTGTCAAATTTTATTAACTGTTGTCTATATATTTCAAAGTATACAAAGTATTAGGTAAACATTGTATTATTATGGATATACAATAGCTTAATTGTGAATTCTTTTCTCCTTATATTCTTCTATCAAAAACTGTAGCTAATAAATGCTTTCGAAGAGAACTGTTGAAATGTTCTTTTTTGACCTGATGTTGAATAGCTAGGCTTAAGAATGTATATAAATTGACACATTTGTATTTCATATTTCTTGATTTATCTTTTCTGATACTTTAAAAAGTGGAGGATCACAGAGAAGTAAAGTATGCCAAATATGTAATATGTAATCAAAAGTAAGCATAAAATGCTCCAGGTAAAGAATTTAGGCTTTGTGATGAAGAACTTAATTTGTCTGTGTTTGCAGTTAACCTAGTGCACTGAGGTGGAATACAAATGAAACTTGAAATGTATTTGCATAGGCATATACACACATTCTGGGTGACAACTTGTAATGATTTATGCATTGACTATAATAATTACAAAATTATCTTTTGGGTTTTCAGGTAGATTAATATGAGATCTTGATTGTTCTATCTAATTTTTTCTTATCTTTTTCTTGCAGACACATGACCCAAGGTGTAGATGTGTCCAGTGTTTTTATGGAGATGGTTAAAGCTAGTGCTACTATAGACATTGTTCAGAAGAAGCTAGTGTACTTGTATATGTGTACGTATGCTCCCCTGAAGCCTGATCTAGCACTTTTAGCTATCAATACTCTTTGCAAAGACTGCTCAGACCCCAACCCTATGGTTAGGGGTCTGGCCCTGCGCAGCATGTGCAGTCTGAGGTAAGAGAATGTCCTGCTTGCCTTGACCTTCACAGCCATCACATATGAGAGAAAGATATATTGTGTAATATACTCAAATGCAGAGGTTACTGATCAATAGCTCATGACCTGAACGATGAGCTTTCAGTTCTTTTGTCTTAAATCTAACTCTTATCAGTAATACATCACTACAGATAGCACTTCCTTCCAGGAAGCTCTTCAAAGTGGAATACACTTGAAGAGCTTTCTGTTTTGCTGGTCAGGACTGAACTTCCCTTGAATTATAGCATGTGGGCTGCTATTTTGCTATCTGATCTATGGAACCTAATACAGCTATTTAATAATGTTTTATTAAAAGGGTTGAGGGCATCAACTTATAAGAGTGTTTATGAGAATTTATAGATTGATAGCCCTGCAATGTTCCTAGGATGCCTGGCATACAAGAATATATTCAGCAGCCAATCCTGAATGGTCTACGAGATAAAGCTTCTTATGTAAGGAGAGTAGCAGTTCTTGGATGTGCAAAGATGCAGAAACTCCAAGGAGACTGTGAAGTGGGTAAATAAACATGTTTTTTCCATTCTATTTCCAATTCCACTTCTCCATTCATATTAGAATAAATATGTGGCATATAGTCTTGATGCTATAAAGAGAAAGTTTGGCTTGAATGCTGTAACAGTTCTACTTTGTATATAGTGTGTGGCGATCTCCCCTTCATAGAAGACACATTCTGCTGGATGTAGTTCTTCCTACCTTGCCCCATAATTATTTGCCAGAAATCTTCCTCAGCAATCTCATATTTAATATTTATTAAACTTGCATGCCACCCAAGTCTCAATAATTCTGGGTTGCTTACAACAGTCAAATAAATTACAATAAAATCCATAAAACAAAGATAAAAGATGGCAAACTCAATAAAGTGTGGAGTCTGACTCTTCCTCACCAAAAGCCTGGCTAAAGACCCAGGCTCTTTTAAACAATAACAGAGTGGGGATCATCCAGATTGTTTTCATTAAATGATCATTGTTTGTGTTTGTATATGTCCTGTCAAAAGCAGTATTTTATTACAGATGAAAGGGGGAAATATTTCTGACTTCCTTTCTGACATGTTTTCTGCAGACGGTGCACTAGTTAATGAGTTATATAGTTTGCTTCGGGATCAGGATCCTATTGTGGTGGTAAATTGTCTGAGGGCTCTTGAGGAAATTTTGGCACATGAAGGAGGAGTTGTCATCAACAAACCCATTGCCCACCATCTCCTTAACAGGTACGTTCCACTCCAAAATTCTTGGGTAAACTAGAGGTATCATTCTCCTCTGTCCTTTGTGTTTTGCATGGTGAAAACCATATGCTTGTCAAATTAATGCTAATATTTTCTTTATTAATTTATTGAATTTATAACTTGCCTTTCTGCCAAAAAAAGCCAATCATTGCAGCTAACAATAATAAATAAATGAATGAATGAATGAATGTTTAATTAAAATACACTATGAATTAATCAAAAACACATTTGTGGGAGAATACCGGAATAGTGAAGTCTTATTTCAAGACTTTGACAAAGCAGGCAAATAGTAGACGACTACTTGAACAGAAAGAACCTGCTGGCATCTAGGCAACAAGAAGGAAACTTCTCTCAGCAGGGAGTGCCTAAATTGGAATCCACCATTGAAAAGACCTTCGGTTAATGTGATGCAATATCGTCCAAGGTCTTTCATTTTTACATGGTGGTAGCTGAAGTAATTACTTGTTCTGCAGAGTTGTTTCCTAGTTTTGGCTTTAAAGCATGTGAGTATTAATATAAAAGATCCTTTGCAATTATATACAGTTTAAATAAAATAATTGGTCAGCTTGTAAACCCAGTGCTCATAGATAATATACTATTGCTCATCGGATTTATAAGGACATACAAAACAGATACGATATTATTGTTATTAATACATTTTATCCCATCTTTTGTTTATATCTATTGGACACCATCGAACAGAAGAAAAAAAAATCTATATCTATCTGAGAAGGTTAATGCACTTCATGCTCCTGCCTCCCTATCTTCCCCACAATAACAAGACTGTGTGGTGGATTGGATTGAAGGAGACTAACTGACTCAAAGTCATTCTCCCATCTTTTAAGTTTAAGGGAGATTGTCATTCAGATATATATTTGTATTACTCTTTAAATTTTTGAAAGATCTGTAGGTCAAGGGCTAAGTACAAATTTACTTAAAGTATATGATTTAGTAGTGTTTGATCAAATCCCTCCATTTCATCTTACTGATTCACATACTTAAGTTTAATACTGATGAAGTAATGGAAAAAGTGGCCTGCAGATTGGGAGAGCAAAGCTATAGATTCACTGCATCACCATTTGTGTTTGTTTTCTCCTCTTTGTAGGATGCCAGATTTGGATCAGTGGGGGCAGAGTGAGGTATTGACTTTTCTGCTGCGATACAAACCCCGCTGTGAAGAAGAGCTTTTTGATATCCTTAATTTATTGGATGGATACCTTAAAAATAGCAGTTCCAGTGTGGTGATGGCTGCCACAAAACTCTTCTTGGTGCTGGCTAGAGATTACCCACATGTCCAGGCAGATGTGCTTGTAAGAGTTAAAGGTCCACTCCTAACAGCATGCACATCTGGGAGTAGAGAACTCTGTTTCACTGCTCTGTGTCATGTACGCCAGATAATAGACAGCCTTCCTGGCCATTTCAGTAGCCAATATAAGAAGTTCTTCTGTTCTTACTCGGAACCGCATTATATCAAATGCCAAAAAATGGAGGTGCTGTGCAAGTTGGTGAATGATGAAAATGTTCAGCATATATTGGAGGAACTGAGAGACTATTGCACTGATGTGTCAGCAGAGCTTGCTCGGGCAGCAATATTTGCCATAGGTAAGTGGACTACTAGGATTCTAATGAAAGACCTCTAACAGGCAAATAAATGTACACCAAAGTTGTAATACCTATGTAAAAAATATAATACAACGCCCCTCTCCCCTGCAATTATATTGCAAATTCTGCATTTGGTAGTGTTTCTTTTGGCTAGAAAAGAATATGACTGTCTTTACAGGTGTGGATAGGACAATCTTTAGAACAAAAAATATGCTTCAAAGAGAGAAGAAGCAAAATTTGGTCAAACTAGAAAATGAAGCAATTCAAAGTTACGCCAGTCTTGTGAACATATTCGCTATTATCCCTTCCAGCTGAAAACACAAATTATTACACTCATAATAACCAAGAAAGTATGTTTGCTCAAAAGTAAATTCCACTGCATTTTAAGAGCGTACCAGCTTTAGTCTTTATTTCATATAAAATGACTCCAAAATTTAAGAAATCTTTATTACTGTAGTCACAAAATGCATATCAAGATGCATGTTTTTTTGCCTTACCACCTAATATTGTTTGCTTTATTGCCTAACATTGTAGTTTGATGTAGTAATTAAGGTCCTGGACTAGAAACTGAGAAATCATAAGTTCTAGTCTTCTGTTAGGCAGGGAAACTGGCTCAATCCTGGCTCACAGGATAGTTGTGGGAAAATAGGAGGAAGCAATAGGAGGAATGCGTAGTGCTGCATTGAATTGTAAAAACTAAAGGTGGGATTAAATCTAATGTCTCAGTGAGCAGTTCATTTCATTCAGTTATACTGAATGTGTTTATTGATTACCAGTTTGGTGTATTATTGCTTAACTTATGGAAATTATTCATGTTCTCTTCCTTAAGTGGTCCAATCACCAGCCTAGAATTGTCTCATCTATAATATTATGTTCCCAAAACTGTTCCATTCTGTCCTATTTTGCATAAGATTAGTATGTACTTCTGTACTGAGAATTAGTATTAGAAATATCAGCCTATGTTGCTGGATCGCTCTTTCCAGGTTAAGGAATTATTAAGCAATCCTGAGAACTTTGGGTCATATGTATGGGGAGATGTTGGTTCCTTTTTTGTTATTGTTGTTGTTTTTTAGGAAACATTGCAAGAACCTACTCAGAACAATGTGTTAGGATTCTAACAGAACTTCTTGAGCTGAAGCAAGAACATATAACATCAGGTATTATTCCGGACTTTCTAGTTCATACTTGATTTACACCATTGCAAGATTTAGCTTCTTTGGTCAGATGCGACATAGTTTTTTCTAAATTTAGAAGAAATCCAAAAGTTGGTTCCAAGTGAGTACGAGCAATTGTACCAATTGGTGCCTCCTTAAAGAAACTGCCTATTTTCCTAGCTCACATAGAGGCCAAGAACATAAATAATTTGTGTTGAGAACAAAGTGTAACAAGGTCCTTTCCAGTGAGTGTGGAACACTCATCACTTTCTTAATTTAAGGAACTTCAACAGGTGTGACAAAGACACTGATAGCTATTCCAAATCACCTTTTTGACTTTGAATCTGAAAAGTACAATCCCATAGTTATTGCTATGTTTAAATGACATAAATATTTCATTGAGACACTGCCCCAAATCATGTAAGATCAGTGGTGGGATTCAGCCAGTTCGCACCAGTTTGGCAGAACCGGTAGCTAATTTTTTGTTGCCCAGGCCCAGAACGGACTTCCGGAAGTGGCATCCACACAGAGAACCGGTTGTTCATATATTTGAATCCCACCACTGTGTAGGATGCTAATACACCAGGTATTCACTTTCTAACTACTGATGCGTTAAGATTTTTTTAAAGTAACTTTGCTCACTTTGACTCCATTTTTTTTCCTGACAACTCTGAATTGGTAAGAGAAACTTAATCAATAGAAGATAAAAATGTTGCTCAGTAAAAATAGACTTTCAGAATGGGAAAAACAATCTATTCTAGAAGAATTTGCATCTTTCAGAGGGCCAGATTTGCAGTTTGGGAATCTCCTCAATTTGTCATAATTCCTGGACGGCCACTTAGTGCTAAGAGTGTTTTGCATATGTAGCTGTCCATTCTTGGAGAGAGCAGATTTGGCCACAGATCATATGTCTTAGTCCCATCCAGATTAGGTTCCTGCTATTTATTTTCTATCAGGCTGCCTAGAAAGGTGTTCTTTGGTGCTGCAAAGATGTAAACTGCCATTTTTTTTTCCTGTGCTACTCATTTTAAAATACCATGGGCTTCCACTTCAACTCTGAAAGCAGTTCAGGGTATTAGTATCAGTTATAATTCTCCATAGAACTTCTAATAACTTAGACTATTTGGAGACCTTTTTCCTTGTGCATGGTCCTCTCTATCAGCTGTACCATCACCTCAATCACTATTTTGCATTCTGTGATGGTCAGGGAATCAGACATGGCCTTTTTAGTGGCAGCATCCTAATCATGGGTCTTCCTTCGAAGGCAGATCTAACATTTTATTGTATTTTAGGTAAATAGTGAAAATACATTTTGCTAGAATTTTATAGCATTTTAATTTTATTAGCTACAAATTCTGTTTTAACCATTCCTTAATCTGAAGTTTATTCCACTCGGATTTTGATGATATTAAGATGTTATCATCTGGACCAAACAGTGTTACACTCTAAATATGTTGTTATCTATTTCCCTACAGCTGTAGTGCAGGTGTTCCGAGATCTAGTATGGTTGTGTCCACAGTGCATAGAGTGTGTGGCCCAGTCTTTGTCTGGCTGTGAAGAGATCATCCAGGACAGTGAGGTAACAGAGAACACCTTTTGTAATCTCCTCTATACTGTTGATGAAATCTAAAATTGAAGCTGAAAGTTTTTTTTAAAAGTATGCATCCCTTGTATATATGTGAGTTATTAGTGTAAACATTCATAAAATCATTTAGTTTAGGAGGATCTGGAGGGTATGTCTGCATAAGAATTTTATCTTTCTCCCCCTTAGCTTCTAATCTATTTTATTATATCATTAAGAATTCTTCTGCTTTTTCATTTGCCACACAGAATTTTGAATCAACTAACCTTACTTTTAGTTATGCATTGCCTTCCCAAAAGCAAAAAAGTTAAATAATTTTGTTATCTTACCAATTTTTAATCAAGGAAATGTAAAATTAGTAACATTGAATATTATGGAATGTGGCTGTAATGAAAATCTTTGCAGCCAATCTGACAAAAATAAAATAAAACCATAATAGGTGGAAGATATTAAAGAGATCCAATCAAGAAATTAGGAGAAATTTCCTAACAGTGAGAACAATTAATCAGTGGAACAACTTGCCTCCAGAAGTTGTGGGTGCTCCAACACTGGAGGTTTTCAAGTAGAGATTGGACAACCATTTGTCCAAAATGTATGGAGTCTTCTGCTGAAACAGGGGATTGGAAGACCTTCAAGGTTCCTTGCAATTCTGTTCTTCTATGTTCTATGTTCTAATCTTTGAAAAATTCAAGATTTGATTACTAAAATTCTTAAGAATTTTAACTCACATGACTATGGACAGGTAGTGTTTTATAATATTGCTTCTCCAAATTAAATTGGTACAGATCCTAAGATTTTAATTATGAAGCAAGCAGATGGTGCAGCAGCCTCAGATTTTCACATCTTTTCTGTTTCAATTTGTTCAAATACAGGTGGTCCTCGACTTACAACCACAACTGAGCCCAAAATTTATGTTAAGTAAGACATTTGTTGAGTTTTGCCCCATTTTATGACCTTCCTTGCCACAGTTAAGTGAATCACTGCAGTTGATAAGTTAGTAACCTGGTTGTTAAATGAATCTCACTTCCCCATTGACTTTGCTTGTCAGAAGATTGCAAAATGGGATCATATGACCTTGGGACACAGCAATCAATGTAAGTACAGTGTTTCCCCTAAAATAAGACTGCCTCCAAAAGAGACACCAGGTCTTATTTTCGAGGGGTTTCTTTTTCACTCACCTCCAGCACCGACAGCCCTGCCCAGCTGACCCACTTCTTCTGCAGCCAAAGGAGCAGCTTCATTCTGCAGCTGAGAATGGAGCTCCGGCCTGCATTTCGTAGTCAAAGGCCTTTCCAGAAGGCCTCTGCAGCTGATAACCAAGCTATGGATTCTGCAGTCGAGAACCGAGGTATGGATTCAATCCATACCATTCAATTCTTGGCTACAGTGGCTTTCCAGAAAGGCCTCTGACTGCGAAATGCAGGCCTCTGGACTCTGGAGAAGTGGGCCAGTGAGGAGAGGCCTGGCTACAAGGTAAGTCAGTGCGGGGCATGTGGGTCAGCTCTACCCCTCCCCCCCACCCTAGCTTGATTTTTAGGTGTGCGCCTTGCCCCAAAACTAGGGCTTATTTTGGGGGTAGGGCTTATATAGGCCCACTCCCAAAAATCAAACTAGGGCTTATTTTGGGGTAGGTCTTACTTTTGGGGAAACACAGTATGAACCAGTTGCCATGCATCAGAATTTTGATCAAATGATCATAGGGATGCTTCAAATGTCGTAACTATGAAAAACGGTCATAAATCATTTTTTTTCAGTGCCGTTGTAACTTTGAACTAAATACAACTAAAACTGTTGTAAGTCAAGGACTACCTGTAATGTCCTTAACATGGAGATTTGGTATGTGAATTGTTCTCAACAGTACTTGAATGCCCAATGTTTTAATGGCTTAATTTTTTAGGGAAAGCAAGCATTAATCTGGCTTCTGGGTGTACATGGAGAAAGAGTTCCCAATGCCCCTTATATATTAGAAGATTTTGTGGAGAATATAAAATCAGAACCATTCTCAGTTGTCAAGCTAGAACTACTGACGGCTGTGGCCCGGCTATTCGTAGCACGTTCTGCTGAATGTCAGGATACTCTGGGTCGATTACTTTATTATTGCATTGGTAAGTCTGTTACTTCTATGATGGTTGCTGTATCGTGAATTAGATGAAAGACAACAGTTATAGTTACTGTTGAAAAGCATACCAAAAAATAAATAAATCTTGGTCTAAAATTCTTTAGATTTTCTAACCAAATCTCAAACAATTTTATCGCAAGTATTTTTCTATTCTGTCTGTACTGCTAGTGTCAGATACCTTAACAGGTTCTAAGGGAGAGAGAAAAGGCTTGGGAGAGACCTCTTGGAAATGCATCATTAAAAGCCAGGTGAAGTAACTGCTTATTTTTGTTGTTGTTGACAAATGTTTGTGTCTGTGATCCAGAGGAGGAAAAAGACATGGCAGTTCGGGACCGTGCATTATTTTATTATCGTCTGTTACAAGCTGGAGTGGAAGAAACAAAAGGAATTCTGTGCAGCCCGACATCAGATCGTTCTCTCCGCATTTTAGAAGAGCAGACTGAAAGTTCCATTAACAAATGGGTCCCTGACTTTAATACCTTGGCGTTCATCTATGGCAAAGAGCAATGGGCAGCTATGACGGCCAAGCGAGTAATTGATCTCCCCTGTGCAGACTCCAGCACAGATGATACCAAAAGAGAAGGCAAAGGTGAGAGACATACGTAGATATTAATTACTTTCTTACTCTTTCTGTGCTCGCTTTTCCTAATGACAGCCAGAAAATGTACTTTTAGGTATCTGATTGACAAGTTATTCTTTGCTTAGTAGGCGATAGTAAGCTTGTTATAATTGTAATGCTCATGTTCCTGCTAAGCATCTTTCGGTTTATACTGTTAATAGTAATTCCTCCACTGTGAAGTTCCACAGAACTTGGCTCTCTCTCTCTCTTCCATATAATAATATGGAATAACAACTATATGAAACTGATTCATCTTTTAGTTTGAGGTGAGATATCATCATGCGCTGATGTTGTATGTTGTCACCTCAAGAGATGCAGTAGGGGTCCTTTTTTATTTTCTGGAGGTTGTGAAGGACTGGATTTGACAAAACAGACTCACTCCCAGCAAGAGACAGCTAGTGTTTTTGTGCAAACAATCTAGCATGATGTCAGTTCTGAGGTTGGTTTTGGGCAAAGTTATATTTCCTCTGAAGGAACAGGTCCTTGAACTGGGGTTTTCCTGCACTAGAGCAGCAGGTCAAAGCCATGGCCAGTAAAGCCTTTACTCAACTGTGGCTGATGTGGTAATTACAGTCCTTCTTGGACTAGACACCCTTATGATAGGATTTCAATTACATTTGTACCACCCCACATGCTTGCAGTTCAGGTGCTTGGCAACCCAATTGCCTTTACAGCCAGTTGCAACATCCTGCAATCTAGGTTCACGACTTTTGCTGATTTACAGCAAATAACATCCATAAGGGAAGCTGGATTTACTTAACAGCCATGTTATTCACTTAATGGCCATTGTAAAATTGTTGTAAAATCGGATCCGACTTGACTTAGGACCATAATACTCATGATGGAAATTTCAGTCTGCAATGTGGTTGTAAGTCAAGGTCCACCTATAGATACACTTGAGAATCCCTTTCTTACATGAGAATCAAAGATCGGGCCAGAGAAAGAGTATAGCCATCTACTGGGAGATTAATGAGCTTCATTATGCAGTTAGTTGGCCACTGTGAGAACAGATTAGATGGGGCAGGGATCCAATTCAGAAGGGTACTGCATATGTTCTTATGATATGTTTCATTCCTGACATTATGGAATAGCTGCCCCCTGAGGTACTGGGTATTTGCAAAGTTGTCAGCATTAGTTTATTCAGATAATGGTGAATCTGGGTTGCTTTTTGGTTCTTGATTTTGATTTTAATGTACAATGCATTTTATGGGGAGGATTAGAAAGATGGATTTAGTGTTGTGTTTTAATAGATGTTATTGCTGCAAACTTCTGTGAGTATGACAATTTGATGATACACAAATGTATGTAATAAATAATAAGTAAATAATATGGCTTTTCTTTCTTTTTCAGTACCACTGATGTTGGAAAAGGAGAATGACCCTGTTATTAATGCCAGTTCCAGTAGCCTTACCTTAATATCGAGTATATGTCTGACTACAGAGCAGTTTGAGAGGACATGGCTAAACCTGGCTGTTGGCTGCCAGCAAGCCATTCCTTGGCAGGAAACTGTTCAGCCAGAGACTTTGCAGGTTGCCCTGCAGATGGTCCATATTCAGACAATTGCAATGAGCAAGCCTGGTTCACAGTCATGGAAAGTCTACCTAGGGGCACAGGATGACACAGGCTGCCTTTTCCTAACTGAGCTGCTGCTGGAGACAGAAAGTGCAGAGATGCAGATGTTAGTGAAGCAGACTGAAAACAAGCCAGAAGCCCTGCAGGCATTTGTCTCACTCTTGAAGACAGTTCTGGAGACAGTGGCAGGCCTGACATCCTGATTTTTTTCCAATTTCTGGTGTTGGTCATAGGCAGGAAGAGATAGCAATTTTGTATATGGTTTATTTATTGTATTCTTTAATGAAGCTGTCATTCTTACAAATTGTCAGTAAAGGCTTTCTACAGCATAACTTTTAGCGCAAATGAAAACTGTATGTTTAGAAAGATATGCAGGGAAACCAACCAGCCTTGAAAGGCAAAATAAGATCATGTTTATGGACAAAAGGAACTTTGTATATATCTAGAGAAGTAAAATAGGAAGACCTGCGATTTCAGGATGAAGGTAAATCAAGGAGGATTTGTGTGTTTGGAAGATGTCACTAAGCAATATTCCCTCTAACGTCTGACAGCTGCTTGTGGAAAAAATTGTTTTGTGCAGCTTTTTCTAAACCAAGTACAAATTTCCTCTCCACGATATGATCATATGAGTAAATTGCAAATAGAAATAGCAATTGTAATTTTATTTCTGCTTAATTTCAAATTTATTTATTTATTGAACTCATATGGCCACCTGTTTTAAATAGAATAATCTCATAATAAAAACAACAATAAAACATTCATGTCACTCATACACAAAGGAGCACATTCCTTTTCCATTGTTCTTCAACTGATAATTGCAATAGTTTCTCTGGATGGGGAATTTTGATACTGTAATAAGAGAAAAACTAAAGAAAAATACATTATTCAAAATAATTTAGATTGCCCTTTCATTTTTTTGTCCATTCTTTGCTTCTTCTCTGAATCTATTCTGAGCTTATACTTTAATCATAAAGGCTGATACCTTTTTTCAAAGTTAATTAACATGGAGCTTATGTGGCCCAAAATTCAACAGATATTAATTAAACCTTTTTTGGAGTGAGGTGCTCCTTGCATAGAAGACTGTGAGGTCCTGAGCAGGTGGGCTGCAAATGCAAAGTTGAGAAATTGCTGTTGCCCACCTGCCTGGAGCCCCAGGCTGCCGGTAGTAGCTCTAGCTCACTGCCTTGGGAATACCTGTCAATCCTGCTGAATGAGGGGTGGTCCCAAGTGACCCTCCCTGCTGCAGGTAAGTTGAGTCAGCAAACTTGTGGAGGACTCCTTGTGAGTCGCAAGGCTGGAGTTTTGTTATGACTAAATTTATTATTATTTAAACTTAATTGTGCAAGTGCTTGATGTAGATGCTAAGTGAGTAGAGTAGCAAGGTTGTTTCTTTAAAATCTTTGTATTGATTTACTTCCATTTAGATGCTATTTCATTTCCAACAAATTGGGGGCTAATCGTGCATTACAACTAGGGTTAAAAATTAATAGTAACTATTCATGATAAAATTGCAATCAAATCAATCATTCTATCATTCAGAGCTGATAATGATCTTATCCCCAAAAGCCCCATTGAAAGCCATGTTTTCACAGCTCCACATGTAAAAGGAAGAGTGCTATTTCAGATGGCAGTTCAGTGGGAGGTAACATGCATCTGAAGTTATTTGCTCTTACATGGATTCTTTCCTAGGCTTACTCAACAATCAGAGAGCATATATTTGCTTCAGCTCTCTAAAGTTTCTTACTGTGCATAGGAAAGAAATCAGAATAGCTTAATATTCAGATAGCTGGTCTAAAATACATTGTATTTTTAAAACTCACACTAATACTGAAGGGAAAAATATAAAGATAGATTCTTTGACCTTAGGAGGTTTAAAAAATGTGTATGCTTTTCTATTTTCTCAGGAAAATTGTGTCATTTTCAAAGTTCTTTTACTGTCTCTGCAACTCAGGTAAATTTGTTACTTTTCTGTGCAGGAATTAGTTGTTCTGCTCTGGAAGAAAATGGCTGTAGCAGGAGAGAATGTTGCATCCTATTTTATATCAACCCAGATGAAACTTATATGCTGCACTGGGAAAAAAACAGCATATTTTTGAATGGGCTGCCCTCATTTTCCTTCTCCTTTTTTACTTAGCACTTGCATTGGAGAAGACACTGCATGCTGCTTTTGCCAATTCAATAATCCTTCAGAGTTTCATGCAGTACTGTATCCTTCCAGAATTAAGTTACATTTCTTTCCCTAGGTATACATTTATTTGCATTCTTTCAGTTTGGAGTCCCATACTTTTTACTCTTCAAGCTGACAAGTTGATGTCAAAACCCAGGAAAAACTGGAATTATGTCACGATTACACAATGTTCCCCACCTCTCATGTGCATGTTTTAATTCAAAACAAGCCTCTTAGAAAGAAGAGAAGATGCTGTTTGACCCCCTGTTGCCTTGTGGCTAAGAATCACATCCCATTGAAAGGAATAATTAGGTTCTTTGAAGCTTTTTGTAGAAAACATTATTTTGGGAAATAGGTTCCAAAGTCCGAGAAAGGGAGAAGAGCTCTATTGTCATTTGGTTTCTTCTGGAGCATGAGGAAAACAGCTCCTGCTTCTTTGCAGGCAGGAAAAAGCCTTTTCTCACCCGTATAGCAGAGCTGCTCTCCTTGAGAATAAACAGGTGAAGCAGCCTATTTCATTTGCAGTTTAATATAGTACTAAAAGTTTTGGCACTCTACTGTGAAGTCAGAAAGCCAGGGATGTAAAAGAAGACTTTGAGTATACTGTATATCTCAGACCTAGTTCAAACAAAGTGAGGAAGTGGAGAAGCATAGGCAGACTTGCCAGATACAGTGCAGAAATGTAGTCTGACTGATACGGCTTTGGTTTCTTAATCTGGTCTGCTTTAATAAGACTGACAAAGTGTGAAATCTTGCAAAAAGTGACTGCCTAGGAAGGGAGGAGGGAGAAAGGAGAAAGCAGCCAGTTGCCTGGAGAAGGGTGCACATTATGGCTTGGGGAAGGAAAATATCCTCCTTTAAAATCTCTTCTTTTAAGCCCATTTTATTGTATCAGACAAGCTGAACAAAAAGTACTGGTACTGCCCAAATGTACTTGAATTCTTTAAGAGTTAAAATACTTTTCTATATTCTTAATTAGTGGGTCTTCCCCTTTAATTACAATCTTTCTGGTTGGCTATAGTAACCAGCCTCTTACCATGTTTTTCTTTCCTCCACAACATTTCCCCAGGAAGAAATTTCTTAAACTCAAAATCTTTATATATTTTAATAAGATTTTAAACAAATCACAGCAAGTACTTTTTGTGTTTCAAAATCTTATTTTCAGTCAATCTGACCCTTGGTCCATTTAAAAGGTTTCCAAAATCAACATTGTAATTACCCTTTTTTATTTCCATTTTTTTTAAAAAAAAAACAAACCCGTTTCTATATGTTTTAAACTTAAATAAAGGTTCTTTCATTGTAAGTTGAAGGAAATCATCTAGGGTAATAAAACCTGCTCTTCTGCAGGTTCTTAATATAAAAAAATGCAAACCATTTCCAGTAAAAGTTGTTAAAAGAGGAAGTGAGTGAACTCAGCATCCTTTTGGTGGCTCTGAACTACGGTTTTAGCAAAGCTAACTGTCCCTGTGTCCCAGAGCTCCAAAATCCTCCCAGGACCACTGTTACCTGGTCTTGTTGTAGAGAACATCTGTTAGAAGCACTCTGAGCAATCCCAAAACTTCTCCCTGATCTAGAGAGGAGTTTGGAGAGCCAATTCCATTCACTGGTTCCACTTTCCACTATGGCTTCTGGCTCCACTAAAAGTGAAGTTGTCTTCAGTCCACCATTGCTTCCATGGAAGTCCCTCTCAGAAGGCATTGAAGACCTGTTTACATCCCTGGACCTAAGGTCTCGTGAATGTGAAAGGCTCGGTTTCCTGATTATGTTAATGTCTATGGATTGTAATATTTCTTGACTGCTATATGCATAATATATTCACAGGTTCACTGGACTTAGGCAGCCAATAAATTTAAATAAAAAACAATACATATATAGAAGTTCATGTAGATAGCAGTGCTGAGCCAAGCTTAGCTGATCTTTAAAAGCAATGCAGGAGAACTCCCGGTTAGAAGCTGGATGGGGTAGTATGAAGAAATAACAGGGTTGACCTTAGAATACAAATTGGGGGGGGGGAGGCAGTAGCAAATAAGTTCCACATTGTCAATAAAGCCTGCATAGATGGATCCATAAAACTGTTGGGGGTCAAGATAAAGTTGAAGGGGACTTTATACTTGGAAAACCCTGCTCCTCTTTGGTGTGAGGAAATGGTTGTGAAATATTATAAAGTTACAAACAGATGAGATTTATAATATGCATCTAGAGCAACTGAAAAAATTGTTCAAAAAAATAGATATCTGCTTAATGAAACATGTTACTGCTGATACAGCCCCATAAAAATTCCCTGGTGTCCAAAGGTTGTGTAATCAATGTCAAATATTAAATTCTACTTCCTTTTAGTCAATTGTGTATCTTGAATGGTAGAAGAGAAAGCATTGGAGGACTTGATAGTCTGAAACACTTCTGGTAATTAATGTTTTTTAGTTCTCATAGATGACAATATCTTAAAATGATGATAGTGTGGCTACACATGTATCACAGAAAATGTAAATAATTTTACTTTGTAAATTATGTTTCTTGTTTTGAATTGTAAATGAAGGAAGTTGCTGGAGACTTTTTATGCTTGATTTCTTCTAGACAACCGAAGAAACAACTCTTAGCAAGATAAGGCAAAAACCTGTTTCAAATACATACCTGAACATGAACCACTCAATGACGTTTGAAGAACAAACAGAACAAATTGTGGAAGCATTGTTCACTACTCTTTGCTTAAAGAAGCAAGAGTTACAAGTAACTGAACGTTGCCTGAAGCTCGTCTCTGAAAATGAAATCCATCTAGAAGGTACAAAGGTTTCTTTCAAAACTAAATTGTGGTGTGATAGGGGGAATGGCTTTGTATTTCCCAAATTTTGAAGTCAGGACCAGCTGCTGGATCTTCTTGCTTGGAGTTAAAAAAAAGTTTGCTATCCATAGTGGTTTTTGTTAGAGACCAAAACTAGTTTCTTTAGGCCATAGTGGAAACCACTAATTTAAAGGATTTTAGATCTGTCATCTTAATCGATCAGTTACATTTAAATAAACTGTTAAAATCCCAAACTAAGATTTTAAAAAATTCTTGCATTTAAGAAGCAAGAAGAAATAGCTTAATTCTGAAATATGTCTGTAATATCAAAAAACTTCACTCTTAATGTCAATGCTGCAAATACTGTATATTCTTGCTTTGACAAAATATGCAGAACTGTCTGGTATTTTTAGAGTTAATTCAGATGATGGTGGGGGGGGGGGGAGAAAGATAGGACTGCGGGCGGGAAGAGACCGGAAGAGAACCTTAACTCATAATAATACTCCAAAATAAAGTTTTAAAATTTAACAGTGCTGTTTTAAATCTACTGCTTATTAATTAAGACATTAGTTGGTTTTAGTAAAATAATTTTCCGGGTCCCTTTTCCAAGTCAGGGTATTGCAAATGAAATGCAAGGCATGCTGCTGGTGGAAAGGAGGTGATGCATTTATTCTCCAAAACAAAACAAAGAAGTTCGCTCTTGGGAGTAGGCGAAAGAGGATGAAGTGCTTGGAACAAGTTTTTATAGGGGATTTGGTTCTTTGTGTTTAAGTATGTGCATGTAATTGTTTGGGTGTGGGGTGGAATTGAACATGACCATTCTGGTGTATCATTATGGCCAGGGAGCAATTTTAATTGTTTTTTTCTATAACTTCTTTCTTTGCCTTCTATATGGTGTCTAGTTATCCCTTTTGTGGGTGAAGGGAAGCATGAGCATAAGAGTTTTGTTCTTTTAATTTCCTTTGCCAGGTTGATCGGTATCAGTTCTTTGTTTTGGCCATGTGTGCTGTTAGTGATTTTTAGTTACATATATCTATTTGTCTGCAACATACTGTAGTTTCTTGCCCCTGATGTTGGGACTTTAAGGAGGCAGGTTTTAAACACAGACAACCCTATAACAAAATCAGTCCTTGAGTTTTCAAAATCCTAAACTACTAAACTCTTGTTTCAGTAGCAGAAAAGATGATATATATGAAATATATCTCATAATTATATATATATAAATAATTATGTATATTTTAAGACCATTGCTGGCCAATAGTTAAAAGGCAGTATTGCAGGCGAACTCTGCCCACTGCCAGGAGTTTGATCCTGATGGGGTTGACTCAGCCGTCGATCCTTCCGAGGTCGGTAATGCTGACATTGTACACTACCCAGAGAGTGTTGCAAAGCCCTATAGAGCTGAATGCTAATGCTATTGCTAATTACTGCTCTGTGTAATAGCTGCAAATAGGAACATGTGTATGTAATAGGGCAATGATGGTATTTTCCATAGCCATTTAGTCCATGGTCTTTGCAGATATCACAACCAGTGTGGTAAGGCATGAAAGTGAGCATATGTGAGTCCCCAAATCTAATAGTAACATAAGAATCAGCCCCAAAATTGAAACTGAAACCAAATAGGTCAGTTTATTCTGTGCAATCATTTGTGAAATCATTGTGTGAGGGATACCAAATTCTATCTCAGACACATCAGTTGTGAAGCAGATAATTTACTCTGAGCATGCTGGTGACATTTTGAAGCTTACAACTATTATATATCTAGATGTCACGTGCAATGTATCTGTTACTTTGATAATATCCATTAACTTTCCTCCACTGCTTTTAGATTCATAGTTATGCAAGCTAGGCTAGCTGAGTGAGCTTTCTCCTTCGTTCTTTCTTTTCAGGTCGTTGTTCTCAAGGTCCCTTAAGAGCGGAGTTCCAGGGAAGCAGGTGGAGAGGTGAGAACTGTAGTTGAGAGGTATGGGTGGGTAAGGGAGTGTCACAGTCAGGTACTATGGAACATTGGGAGGTGTGTGGGTACCATAGGGGGACAGGGAAGGTGCCAAAGGCAAGGACTATAGAGTGTAGGCAAGTGGAAAAACAGTAGGAGCAACTTGCAGCTTCCTGCTAGCTCCCCCATTGACTTTGCTTATTGGAAGCCAATAGGAAATGTCGGAAGTTATGATCACATGACTGCAAGGATGCTGCATTAATCACAACTTCACAAACTGTTTGCAAGTCCCCCTTCATTCAGCACTTTCATAGCTTTGAATGGTGGCTGAACAAGTGGTTGTAACCTGAGAATTACCTGTATTTTTTTAAATAAGCAAATTTAAATTCTCTTTAGCTAAATTTAAAAGGTAGATAAATGTTATATGGACATGTCAAAAGGATTGGAATTGAAATGGAATAGAAATTGAATTAGAATATTTTTATACAGGGAAAGAAACTGTAAATCTGTATTGGCTTTCTGTTAACCAGTAGTTGATTCTGCAAGCAGTTTTGATCCAGTTGATATTGCCAATTTACTGCGATCCATAGGAGATCAGTACAAAGCAGAGATGGAGGGCCATGTACAGGCAATTATTGCAGAGGAGAGCACAACAAAGGTAATTTCTAAGCATTCTGATCCAAATTCTTTAGTTTTAGTTTACCATTAACTAATATCTATGTAGATGTAAATTATGCCAGAATACTTTTCTGTGGCCTCATAGATGCAAAGCATTTTATATTGGCTGCTTTAATCTGTTCTAGTTTAATATGTTTTATGCTGTTTTTT